GGGTTTGGGCCTGGGTGGTGCTGGGTTTGGGCCTGGGTGGTGCTGGGTTTGGGCCTGGGTCGTGCAGGGTTTGGGCCTGGGTGGTGCTGGGTTTGGGCCGGGTTGGTGCAGGGTTTGGGCCTGGGTGGTGCTGGGTTTGGGCCTGGGTCGTGCTGAATTTGCCAATGAAGCACTAATATTCTGAGTGAGGAAGGTCACTGGATCTAACACATATCAAATTTACTATTAAAGATTTCTAAAAATAAGAACAAAACACACAACACTCATTCTACACCAACTTAAATTTACATTCGAAAGAATATCTCGTCAGAAATGAATTTCTTCTACCTGTTTATGAATACGGAGATATCGTATGGTCTAATGTGTAGTTTTACCTGTTTATGAATACGGAGATATTGTATGGTCTAATATGTAGTTTTACCTATTTATGAATACGGAGATATTGTATGGTCTAATATGTAGTTTTACCTATTTATGAATACAGAGATATTGTATGGTCTAATATGTAGTTTTACCTACAATTGTAGCAAAGTATGGTTTGAGGGATAAAGCAGTACTTACCGAAGCAGAGTGGAATACATGCTATATCAATTAATTATGAAATTCTATACTTTAACTGTTTAACCATACCAAAACAAAACGTGTTTCTGAAAATTGATAGCAACTAGGTGGGTTCGGTCAGACAACTTCATCCGCCTCTCATCTAATTGAATAGGCCATTTATGTTAGGAAGCAACGGATATTGCCGAGGGAGTTAGTCTACAACCATGGAAACTGTCAAGGGAGATAGTGTCTAGGGATATTTTAGTTTTTAGATTAACAGTATACGGCTAGTAAATGACTAATTCCTTGTACACCGGAGTCAGGGAAAAGCTGAGATATAGTCGACTTAACAATGTTGTTTTATGTCGAGTAACTTGAAAAAAGTCAGTTAAAGCAAATTATCTCTCTTTAGAAATGGTATTTATATATATATTGAAGCAGCCAGAATCTCAATTGATTTTACGGTTGTGAATAATTCTGAGCTACTATCTTAAGATATAAGATTACGGATGTGATTGAGGAGGCGTGGTAGTCTAGTAGTAGGACGCGGCTCGTGACCGAAGGGTTGCGGGTTCGAGTCACGTCACGGCACTGTGCTGTAGGGTTAGGGTTAACCTTTGACCAAGATACTTTACTCCGCTTGTTCCAGTCTACTCAGTTGTAAATGAGTACGTGGTTGGGCAGTGCTAGAATTGTTGAATGCTAGCTGTGAGCAGCACCGGCTGTATGCTCCCCAGGACGTTGAGAAAGATGTTGGCTGGTTGCAAAGGCCCTATAACCACGGATAATAATTTGTGAACCGCTTTGAGACGACCTACGAACTAGGTTGTGATAAAGCGGTATATAAGAACCTCGAATTATTATGAATTAGTATTATGTTTGAACCTAGACAAAACCTGACTTGTATTATTTTATGAAACAGTTTACAGTGCATCACCTACATTTCCACCGGAATGGACTCCTGAGCTAAATCGAGAATCACCTCCATAGGACTCTCGGCACCAAAATATAGATAATTTACTGCAGAACTACGTACGTGCAAAATACTTTTTTAACACTCGTCGTTAGAGAATGAAAAGTCTTTTCCTAATAAGGCAAAGCAATATACATTTTAGTTACATGTAACTTGCATTAAAGAAACATCTTCGTAAGTAATATTTAATATTTTCATTTTCCTACTTTGTTCTTTTTGTAGAAGTCGGCCATAATCTTAAGTTGTAGGATTTTAGCCATTGTTTCCTTATTAGATTGACCGTTTACATAAATACATAAACTTTATTTATTTTACATCAATTATGAAACAAATTATTTCAACTTATATCAATCACTCTTGTTTGTCCGGATGTTAGCGCGCTGGGTATCTTAATGTGGGAGGAAACTGGAGAACCCGGAGAAAACCCATGTGATCGGGCAGGTGACCCCATACCTTTTTACGTCTAATCGGGAAATCGAACCCCGGCCGCCTTGGCGAAAGTGCGAGTAGGACATGCACTACGCCACCCGACCACCATCCATGTAGTGACTCGGGGAGTAGAATACTATAGCAGTCCAGTTAAATAATTGTACATAGGTGTCGTTCTGTGTTCCTCTACAGATCACACTTATCATCAGACTGCCAGGCTCATATGTATTACGTTTATCAATCTCGAGACACAAAAAATATTTTTGAGTGATAACAACTTTATCGTGAATTTGGTAGCTTGTAGGTACAGTGTAGCACAACTGTGAGGTTATGTATCCAAATGAAACGTTTTAATTGTAATCGTATTTTACAGAGCCAATAGGCACAGCTCCCCACCCCACGGTATGTGTATATGTGTATTATGTACAATGCCCCTGTCCCCCGATGGAGTTGTGACGTCAGTATGTACGTTGTCATGGCACATCCATACACTTCCTAATGACGTGTGTATAAATAGCACTACTTATGATTGGCCGACACATTTTTTGTTGTATTTAATGCATAATTTATGTTTATAAGTATAGCTTCCCCGATCTAACGGCCATAGTCTCTGTATTACATGACCGGACACGATAATGCCATATCGTGGTTAGGAATAACGACAAAATCCTTCGGACTGTCAATAATTTGCTTATTCATAGGTGTCGCCACTGTCAACCCGGGACGGTACAACGGACGTTAGTTCGTTCTTTTATTCCGGCAGGACTGGACGTGGAATTACGGTCATTTTAAAGATCAATTATTAAGGCAAATTTTCTGTAGGTCACATATTTTCCAAACATTTATATCTTTAAGATTAGGAAGTAAATCTCCTCTTGAACTTTCACAGGGAAAAATATTTTCAAAAATGAAGACTTACTTTTCATTGCTATTTTTGGCCCTTTTTTCTGTGGTCAGTATCGTGTCATCAATGACGATTCCTCTGACCAATGTTCTGACCAAGAATCCCCACACGACGTGCATCAGGAGCTGTCGAGAGGTGAAAACGAGGCACGGCATTGACGACTACACGTGCGGATTCTCGTGCTTAAAAATCCGCGGGAAAGTGATCAAGAAACGAAGCAAGAGAGATACTAAATCTTCCAAGGTAAGATAACTCTGCCATCTGTTTTTTATATTGTATTTTTCTATTTAATTTCTGTGTTTGATGGGATAACATTAGGGTGTTATCGCTTCTTCAATAGATATAGTAACCCGTGATTACTGGAACGTGGAGAATTATTTCGTTATTGCATAAAATTGTATGATAAGACTTTTGCCAATTAAACTAATGATAAAGCCAGTTATACATTTCGTTTATTCAAATATTTGAAAAATACTTTTTAAAAACAGTTACTCGCTTTAAAAAAACCAATCTTCATACTTTGCAGGGTTTGGCTTTACGCCAACTAATGGGAAATGAGAAATTGATTTGGCCAACTTTATGTCTATTTTCTTGGAAATCAAAATATAGTTCAGTGTTATTACAACAGTATAAACCACGAAGTCTTTGAAGGAATGACGGGAAAATGAAAGGAATGTTACAATGAATGAGGGCAAATCAGGGACATATATCACTTTGAATGATCTTCCTTGATTATTTGTTCTGTTCCGTATTTGAAAAATCTGAACTCTTTTCTGCTTCACGTTTGATAACCGATTTATAACTGCTGAAATAGCATTAATGTAGAGCTATCTCGTTGTCACATGCCACAATATTCGTTCTGTTCAGTGTGTGTGTAAAGTGAACCAAACATACATAAAATGCCTTCGCACGTTTACCACCTACGACAAGATGGCAAAAGAGCATTAAAAGAAATTCAAAGCAGGACAGGAAATTTTGAATTATGTTTACAGAGTAATCTCCACTTACTTTAACTCTTCAATATTCATATTTTAAAATAAACCTCTTTTTATCATAGGCCTGCATGAAGTTCCACTTTCTGTCATGTTTCAATAGAACTCTTAGTGAAAATGTCTGTTTAAGGATATAAATAACCCTACTATTTATAATGCATTCATACAAAAAGAGTTCCACAGCGAAATAATATCTAAATTGATGTTTTTAAATTTTGATAAAGACCTGATTCATTTATTGAGTATAAATAAAGAGGTAAACAATGATTTATAACGTATTGAGATACACACACGCATTAGTTTAAACATATTTATTGCCAAAAGTAGACAAGGGCTTAGGCACAAGTTATATCAACAGAGAATTACTCATAGTTCTTAGTTTTCAATTAACTAGATAATGATAATTGTTTATTGTAATTGAGATACCGCTGATAGTTAATTGTAAATGTGGCATCTGTCTTAAAGGTATACCCCATAGCGAGGAGAATGATATCTCGTTATTGTTATTAGTGTTCGATAAATCGATAATGTTTAATGGGTAAGACGTAAATAGCCAGATGACAAGGTAGTCGTAGGATAGTGACATATATTGCGATATATTTGTCTATAAATATTAAGGTTAACTGATCAGCGAGCGTGTACACATGATCCGGAACCGTCATCGGCACTCTCCGTAAACGAGAAATGTATACGGAAAGTTTCCACGGTTTCCGATCAACAATGTAAATCACGCAACTCTCCCCAAAAAAAGGATCATGGAATTTGCAAATGTATTGGTATACATTTTTTTATATAATGAAAAGATAAAATATATAAACGGGATGGTGTGTCTCGTTTCAGCTGTTCAAAGCGCTGGAAACTCGCAAACAAAGGAGATAGTGTCACCACCCATGTAGAGTTCGTATATTCATTAATTCAAATTTTATTATAAAATTGTGTTTCAAACAATTACATTTTATTTTTGTATAATATCATAGAGTGTAAAATAACAAGGTTTTAATGTTTCGGAGATTAAGAGTTTCAGAGGATATTTTATAATGAACATTATATTGTTATTCCAAAAGCAACACACTGTTTTTCAGTGCTTGAGGGAAATAGAAGGCGAGTCTTGAACATTGGAAGAAGTCTTAAAGTTTAACAAGAGGGGTTGGCTATGTGAATGATCCGCAGTATGAAGATAAACTGTTTACTTAGTCTGTAAGTTATAACTGTAAAAAAGCAATACATCACATTGCCATGTCCGTCCTTAAATGACCATAGATGTTGATAGGACGTTTAACAATACTAAACCATACACACAGTTCAAGTGACGCATTTGGAACGAATTTAGAAGTAAGCATTTTAAATTTCGCAATAAATTGCCTTACTCTATTTTCTGATGAACATTGAACGTTTGTTAAATATAACACCAAAGTCGTGATGCATGCACATTCTGGTGATGGTGACGTCACCCCGCTGAACAACCACCTGATTGACAGGTGTACGTACCGCCTGTCGTGAAATGGACATTACTCGGACGTAGTACTTGTCCTGCTAATATATTGAATTAAGTGTATACCGTAGTATATGGGTCGTGTCCTCCAATCTTAATGACCTCGCGTCGTTAGGTACTACCTATACACGGATATGTAGGGCCTGTGAGACCAATAGTGTCTGTAAGTGGGCGAAACTATATCAGGAATATCATGATTATCACGACGTATATATTGCCAATAAAAGTCAATAGATCTGTCCTAACTAATACCATACTCATAGCATACCAATAAAATGTACATTATTAATTCATCATAAGAAAACGTACCAACAAAAACACGCTAGCTGTTATTGAAATAACCGATTTTTATTTTGTTTTAACAGAGAATGTTCTGTCTGGTTTTACAAACTTCCTTTTATATATGTACTCATGGAAAAGAACTCAACATGGTGTGGCCCTTTATTGCCCCAAAGCCATCAAAATGTTAAACCATCCATTTAAGGTTTAAATTACTGTTTTTCAAATATTGAATACTTTCACGTAATTGTATTTTATGAAACTATTTATTTGGTTTCAATTATGGTTGCCATGGTAAACATTAAAATTTAGCATCAATAAGTGAGATTTTTGCATTCAGTAAAACTTGTATTATTTTCGCATGGAAAAGATAAAAAATAAAAACAACAACAAAACATAAAAAAAAAACAAACCTACTTTGAAATTCAATCGAAGGTTTTGAATATTGTTTTTCGATAACTTTTTAGAATTTGTGTACAACTGTCTTGATCTTTTTTTCCATCAACCTGAAATCCCATAGTTGTATCAAAAATGTTTGTTTTCAGAATGTATTGATTTTGTATATACACATGTTTATCAAAGAATGAAAACTGTTATAACTAACGTTGTTATGATAACTATAGACAGTGGAGGACCCCAAGTCCAATGCCGTTATACTTCTTTCCGACATTCTGTGAAGATGAATTTATGGGAACTGTAATCCTTGGAATACTTATTTTTTCCAATTTTACATTGCAGAAAAACTACATACACATCACCCCGATCCCGAAAAATTTCAAGTTTTACGACATCAATGACGATAAAGGAATCAGTTTACCGGAATTCGCACGCAGCTTGGGTCATGACCCCAAGACATTTCACATCCGGGCAGCTTTCAGTGAAGTAGACAGAAATAGTAAGTGAATACCTATGAGAGTTATTTCAAATGACATACACATTTAATTCATTTCATGGTATTATTAAGCTTGGCAAATTGGGATATGACGTACATGTACAATGTTAAGTTGATAACGAACAAACTAAAAAGTCACTCTTTTCCCAAGCTTCCGGGCTTATCCCTTCGTCAGGGATTAAATGTCACCGGAACTCTATGTCACATTCATCTTGACAAACAGGAAGCGTAAATAAGATGCTGATATTAATGGCGTCATAACACTGTTACCATCACGTCAACACAACACAATGACGTCATCGAAACATGAAAGTTGATAAGGCAAAGATCTATCCTCCCTCTACTACTTGATACCACTTACCAGTTGCATGATACTAATTATCACGAATTGACAGTATGAGAATATAGAGAAGAAGCTGAGAACGACTTATAAATAGATTTTCCCATTTGGGACTCTTTTTTTCTCTCTCTTAAAATAGAATGTTTGCTCGCGTCTGGTGACGTCATGAACCGGGAATAATATCCAAACAACGTTGCTCCTCGTGAAAATAAACAAATTATTATACAATTATGAAAATTTATATTTTGAGGATAACAACACCATTTTAGCGTAAATGTAAGAATGAAGAAGAAAATGACAAAAAATAACATTTCAAAAAAGCACAATTATACACAAGTTTACGGCATTCCTCCACGTTATGCTCGTCACCTATTTTACGTTTGTCCCTGGTTGAGGATCTCGATGATGGTATGGTTTTTGGTTGACTTTTTATTCATGGGGAAATGAGGTAGTAGTATTTAGATGGTAAGCAGTTTAACACACGGTTTATCACACAGTTTAACACACGGTTTATCACACAGTTTAACACACGGTTTGCAACAGTTAACACACGGTTTATCACACAGTTAACACACAGTTTATCACACAGTTAACACACGGTTTATCACACAGTTTAACACACGGTTTATCACACAGTTAACACACAGTTTATCACACAGTTAACACACAGTTTATCACACAGTTAACACACGGTTTATCCCACAGTTTAACACACGGTTTATCACACAGTTTACCACACGGTTTATCACACAGTTTAACCCACGGTTTATCACACAGTTTAACACACGGTTTATCCCACAGTTAACACACGGTTTATCACACAGTTTAACCCACGGTTTATCACACAGTTTAACACACGGTGTATCACACAGTTAACACACGGTTCATCACACAGTTAACACACGGTTTATCACACAGTTTATCACACAGTTAACACACGGGTTATCACACAGTTAACACACGGTTTATCACACAGGTTATCACACAGTTAACACACGGTTTATCCCACAGTTTAACACACGGTTTATCACACAGTTTAACACACGGTTTACAACAGTTAACACACGGTTTATCACACAGTAAACACACGGTTTATCACACAGTTAACACACGGTTTATCACACAGTTTATCACACAGTTAACACACGGTTTATCCCACAGTTTATCACACAGTTTATCACACGGTTTATCGTTCAAACAGAATTCTCTTAGTTCACACGTTGATTGAATGTCATGTCCACCTGCGATTTCTTATCGTAAAAAGTAAAACAATCTCATATAACTGGTTCTAAACAAATGCATGTTTACAATTGTCTGCCTTTGGTTGTGTTAACATCTACAAGCAAGTAATTGTCTGCCTTGTTTGTGTTAGCATCTACAAGTAAGTAATTGTCTGCCCTCGTTTGTGTTAGCATCTACGAACGAGTAATTGTCTGCCCTTGTTTGTGTTAACATCTACTCACAAGTAAGTGTCTGCCCTTATTTGTGTTAACATTTACTCACAAGTAATTGTCTGCCCTTATTTGTGTTAACATCTACAAACGAGTAATTGTCTGCCCTTGTTTATCTAGGTGATGGAAAGATTGACGTCCTGGAGTTCCACAGTGACGTCCTTGTATTTGACGGTGATGGAATGTTTGAAGACGATGGTGAGAACATGATAATATTATTATTAAAAATTAAAAAAAATATGACCTCAACGAATTACTTGGCACAGCCTGTGTCTAGTTGAACAATATTTTATCGTTTTATACTATGAACAAACACAATCATAACAGTTATACATGTTCATTTATACATGTACATTATCCAAAGAATGGTAAAGACATCTTATAGATTTTATATTTTTTGTAACAATTAATAAGTGTTCATTGTTAGTGTATCATCGCTTCATTGACCGGAAGCTACGATATCAGTATGCGCTTTGTCTTGAGGTGTATACTACTAAATAACAATTATATAACAGATAACATGATCGGGTTTCCGCGCCATTGTTGTCGTCGCTTCTTTCACTCGTAATTCAGTTATGGCGTCTTTTGCTCATTCGCCGAGATATTCCGCAGAATGGAAATAATACATGTGGAATTCGACTGTACATTAAAGTCAGGTGTTAATAAAGAGACATTTTACAACATGTTCCATTTTTAAATAAAATCAGGTCTCTGTAAAGTCAGGTTTCATTGTAATAACAGGTCGTCTTTAAAATCAGGGGTCAGTAAAGTCAGGTTTTATTACAATATTTACAGTATGTCTTGAAAGTCACATGTCTATGTCCTGTCTTACTGTATATCACAGTTTGTTTTTGACATCAAGCTATGTACATATCAGTGCTGTGGCACATGTTTTGTTTAAGATCATATGCATATTTAAGGATAAAAAAAAATGGAAGCTGTAAAATCGTTCTAGCTTAAAATACATCTCTGTATACATTATGTTACAGATTACAACGTCGACGATTCCGTCATATCAAGGAAGTCCCGCTACGATGATGATGAAGGTGACAGCAGCGATGACAGCGACAGCAAGGACAGCGATGATAGTAGTAAAGATGGTGATGACAGCAATGATGATGATGATAGTAGCGATAGTGATAGCAGCGATGACAGCGATGACAGCGACGATTCTAGCGATTCTAGTGACAGCAGTGACAGCAGTGATAGTAGCGATAGTAGCGATAGTAGCGATAGCAGTGACGATGACGACAAGAAGAAGAAGAGGAAATCTCGTCGGAAAAATAAGGGCGACGGTAATGACAATGACGACGACGACGACGACAGTAGAAATACAGACGACGGCGTCAATTTACCAGTAATTCATGTTAAAGATGACAAGTTAGACGATACCGCTGACGACATGCTGGACAATGTTTTAGATGGTATCGATTTCGATGGCGATGACACTATGGAAGGCATAATAAGCGATAACATGGACGATGTGGTCGATGATGTGGATGACGGTGTCAGCGATGTTGTTGAGAATGTTAACGACGCTATGGGTGACGGTATTAGCGATGTTGTTGAGAATGTTAACGATGCGATGGGTGACGCAGTCGATACCATGGCTGATCGTGCGAGCGATGTCGTCGACAATATCAAGGATGGAGTTGAAAACAGGATGGATGCTGTTAACGACATGACTGGAAATGTAGCAGGCGCAGTCAGTGACGTAGCAGGCAATATTGGCGACGCAGTCAGTGACGTAGCAGGCAATATTGGCGATACCGTAGGTGACGTGGTGGACACAATCAACGACATGACAGAAAAGGTTGTTGACACAGTAGGTGACGTAATGCCCGGTAATTCCGATGCAATGAACACCGTCATTGCCGCTAATTTGATTGCCAACGTCGCCCCGCCCTCAATCATTCCGAGTTCTCGCATAAACTCTCGACCACAGGCGACGCTAGCCGGAGCTAACCGACGACTTGATATCCCCCCTAACCCGGTACCAGCAGTTGCTGCCCTCCCTGCCGTACCACGCCTCCCCGACTCCCCTGGTGTGCCGTCAATGTGGGAAGACTCTAGTAAATCGGGATCATCAGATTTCCAACGGAACATTGCTAATGTCGTATCTCGTAGCAACGGAGGACGGACATCGGTCGTCCAAACTGCACGTGACGATAGTATTCAATGGAGGTTCTAGTCATGTGACATTTTTTATGAATGCACCTGCCAGGTGACAACATTATTCGATTTAAATCAAATTATGTGACGGTTAAGCTTATATCTGATAGTAAACAAAATACGTATATAAAAATATATCCAGGTCACGTTCTGGCTACGTTACGACTTTGAAAACTGATTTCATTCATCAAAATCTACGATACTAACATTCGAACTGTTGCAAGTTACGTTCTCCCACATATAGTGTGTTTTGAGTGTGATGGTAACTAATTTCTAGTTTAGATTCAATAACTGATATCGACTAATTAGTCGGACCTCAATAATCATATGTTTGTAAGAGCCACGGAAAGAACAACTTACAAAGAGACTAGATAACGCTATTATAGACAAACCACATTCACCGAAATGTCGCTATATTGATGGTTATAAATAGTTAGGCCATACAACATAGACCCCATTATGTAAATAAGATGAACAACAATGTACATAGACATTTTATAACTTATTTCATGCTGACCTCTTCATTTTTACAAGCTGTCGATGTATAACTCAACAAAATATTTCTCATGATAACATATTGTCCTTCTCGCTCTCTTTCGACTTTATTTTGAACTATCACTATAGTTAATTAGTTTTGTAGACGGATTAAAAAAAAATACAATTAATGTGTACTTTGTTTTATGGATCAGTCTGAGTGAGAATGAAATCACGTGTTGTGTTTGTGTATTTTGTACATGTAAGTTTTAATCAAATAACAATAAATACCATTTTAAACAAAAACATGCCTTTTCTTATACATATACCGTGCGTATATCTGTAGGTTTGCTGACAAAGTAAAGAACGACTGTACTATACGATCATGTCCGCAAAAATGTTTGGGTTTTGTGAAACATATTTGTGTTTTTTAAAATGCTTGCCATGGTAAGAAGTTGAAACATGGATAAATTAATGAAATTTGAATATTCAGTCAATTTAAAATGGTTTGAATCTTGTTTTTCTGTTTGCTACCAATGAACACTCTTGACAAATCATTATTTTTCTCCCAATTTTACATGTTTTTAATGCCCACTCTTTTAACTTTGTCCAAGCGTGCTCTGTAGTTTCAAGAGAAAACACTATGTACGAACATGACAAAATTAACTTGATTTTCAAGTTGTTTCTAATTTTGAACTCGTTACCATGGCAACATTTTTTTTCATAATTGCATTGTGGAAGAATTCGAAATAAAGGAAACAGACGTTTGAACGATCGCTTTGGGAACCAAAGATAGCCAGACCATACAAAGTCATTTATTTAACATATAAATATAGTCCTACTGTATGTAGTTAGAGTTACTCGACTTTAAAAATAGCTATCATCAATCTGGGAAGTAACAATGCATGATTCAGATAGGCGTTCATGATGGTTTTAGTGCATATGAGTACACCAGTTATTATGTGATATACTATTGAATCAAACTTGTGTCGTTAGATTGGTGCTTTTCAGTTGTTTACAGTGACTTCAACTCTAACAAACTGACTATCAATAATATACGAACATTTACGATGTATATGCCGAGCCTATTACCAGAGAACAGTAGTGTATCGCTTATTACCAGAGAACCTAGTAGTGTATTGCCTTTTACCAGAGAACCCAGGAGTGAATCGCCTATTACCAGAGACCCCAGTAGTGAATCGCCTTTTACCAGAGAACCCAGGAGTGAATCGCCTATTACCAGATAACCCAGTAGTGTATCGCCTTTTACCAGAGAACCCAGTAGTGAATCGCCTATTACCAGATAACCCAGTAGTGTATCGCCTATTACCAGAGAACAGTAGTGTATCGCCTATTACCAGAGAACAGTAGTGTATCGCCTATTACCAGAGAACAGTAGTGTATCGCCTATTACCAGATAACCCAGTAGTGAATCGCCTATTACCAGATAACCCAGTAGTGTATCGCCTATTACCAGATAACCCAGTAGTGTATCGCCTATAACCAGAGAACCCAGTAGTGTATTGCCTATTACCAGAGAACTCTGTAGTGTATCGTCGATAGTTTGAATGTTTAGACAATACAAAGCTCAGACAGACATTTCTTACCTCTCGATCAGCCTCCTTCTTCCCAATTAAAATCAAGACAAATGCAAACACCTCTTTATATTTACTGTCGTATTGCATTGTCACTTTATAACCCTTCGACATTCGGATATCATTATACAATTGTTTCATGGCTATTTGGGGAACAGTCAAAACTATCATCCCGAGGTAGGGGGAAGCCCTGGGGAACTGTTTGCCCGAGGCCGCTAGGCCAAGGGCAAACAGTTCTACAGGGATTCCCCCCACCGAGGGATGATAGTTTTGACTGTTCCCAAAATAACCATGAAATAATTGTTTTATTACCAAATAAAAATTAGTATCAATGCTGCATGAATGTTGCCATTGCTTCAACACTGAGTCGCGGTCACCGAAACGCTTGAAGGGGGCTCTCGAGGGGGGATTTCTGCGCATCGAATTCGCGCCGGGTAACAGTTCGCTCTGACGGGGAAACAGTTTTGACTGTTTCACCCTTACAGCCGAAATTGGACAAAAAGGCCAAAAACAGTCAAAAATAACTAATTATAATTTATATAGACTATTGGGTAATAATCATATCTGTTAATGCCAATACTTGATTATTGACGTCATCATAATTGTGACGTCATAATTGTAACGTTTGATACCACTTCTCCTCAATAAACTGATGCCTGCTGTTTTCATTAAACGAGCTCAAATGCACTACTTGCAACTGTTCGCGTTTTCCACGTCGAGTAAATAAGCGAGAACATGTCCACACGCAAATGTTTATCTGGAGGTTTTACAGAAATGGTTAATATAATTGCTTAACAGCTTTAATGTGGCATACATAGGCAATATGAATGTCAACTGAAAGCAGTTCGGTGCTAAAATAAAATCAGTTGAATTTACACTGTAACATGCATTTCCTGATTCACATGTGCTTAAAGCACTGACGCCGCCATCTATCAGTCACCAAAGACATGCCATGTCAAATATTTATAATTCTCATTACTTTTAATCAAATATAGCACCTACATAGATTTATTAATCAAGGCGTTACATTTGTTTTTTTTCAACGTCCTTAAATGATTTAAGGTTTTGATAGGACATTAACCCTTACAACCAACATTCAACAGAGAGTTTAACGATTATATTTGAGTTAATTCGCGAGGATAGCATCATCGATTCTCCAGGGGTTACGCTCACTTTCGCTCTCCCCTGGAATATGTCAAAGTAAAGGCTCAATGTGCGCCACCTCGCGGATGAAACTAGAAGACTAGTTCGGTACTTTGATTAACATCAAAAGAATCTCGCGGTCACGTAACTGTAAATTTGATTGGCTTTGAAGTCGATGTGTCGCTCCTCTGTAAGCTTCGAAGGTCATATATCAGCCTAGCGATTGGTCATTTTTTTTTTTACCTGAGACCAATCATACAGCTATCGTCGTTCCAGGGGTGCAGAGAATGTAAGTGAGCGCAACCATTGAGGTATTGAGGATGCGAGGAGAGAAGTTCTGGAATTTCTCGCGAATGTGCACACTTTAGCTCTCTGCATCCAAAGAATACATGTCTGTCATAGCGAAATCGAAGGCTCAGTGTACACTGCCTTGTGAATGAGACAAAAGACTAGTTATATCCTTTGATGTACATCAAAATAATATGTCGATTGCGTAACGGTAAAGTTGGCTGGCTTTGAAGTCGGGTGTCGCTCCTCTGAATTCATCAGAGAAAAGGTATCAGCTTAACGATTGGTCAGGTTTTTTGTACATGAGAGCAATCGAATAGCTAGCTGTGTGCCTTCAACATAACCATGACATAGTCCAGGGTGGAGAGAGCGCAAATGAGCGTAACCCCTGGATTATCGAGGATTTTACGAAGGAGCAGCAAATACCTGATATCTATCGGCAAATTTAGATTATCGAAAATATGCACACACAAAAATCAGCACTGGTGAAAACGAAATGATGAATTTGTACGTAAAACCATTAACGTCACCATTTCGTTAGATGCAAATGTGTTACATCCTACCAAAACGATGTTACAAAGCACTAAGTCGTCGTCAAAAACCGGAATGATTTAATGATTGATGTAGCCGATAAATTATAAAATGACGAAGAATTCACAAGTCCAAATATATGAAAGCAACTGAACGATACTTAGCAACGTGAACCAAGACAAATCTTGAAACAAAATAATTCTCGTCTTACATTGAGTTTACCGCCCCGCAATCTGAAGTTAAAATGAAGTCATACATTTTATAAATGTTATTTATTGTAATGAAAAGATTTGTCATTTCAATTACATATATTTACATCAATCATTACCGTGAGACGACCTTTTCAGATTGCTACTTTCTCACCAGGTGCAGGGTTGTTGTCATGTTTAAGTTATTATCATGCAAAGTAGAAAACAAAAAATAACGAATATGTCTTTGACCGATTTCGGAGTAATGCTTACACGATAAACATGCTTTCATCTTAATTGTTAAAGACCTATAACGTCAATTAATTTGCTCACTGACTTTATAATTCACTTATGAAGTAGTATTAAGTAAAATGATCGTTATAGCAGAAGAATCATTCAAAATTTGACAAGAAATATCGATTACGGGACATGAGGCATGCGTGACAATAATCGAAAACATTTCACATCGTAGGAAACTGTAATCTAATTGCTTGTTGTTTTGTATCTATGACACGTTTCACACTCTAGGTGTAATACAAACAAGAAATGTCAATTTTATCCTGCTGATAAGAAAAAGGTTTGAAAGTAAGCGGTACGCTACCTTTAAATATAACATCTATAATCGAACGTAAACTTTCTCTATCGTAAACCATGACATCCAGTGAAGTAGTCAAATCACTCGATGGGTACATTTGTAGTTCTTCTTCGTGGTATCATTTTCTTTTTTTATGCAAAATGAAAAATGACAAGTAAACTCAAACTTGTAAAGTGGAGCACTAAAGTTGAAAATGACGTAAAATACATGTTTTATGTATAAGTACGAGTAAAAACCAGTTAACTGAACGCGATAACAAAACTGATACTTCATATCGACTACGATTGTCTCGCTTGGGTACAGCAGATACAGCGACAGTGCAATACGAGCAGCATTCATCTATTTTGGTGTAACAGGGGTTACAGAATGGAACATGCCAATCCTCCAAGGTGACAGACGTCAAGCAGGACAATTCTCTTCCAAAAATACACCAGAGTGTTGTTTAAATTATTTTAAACTTTGTCCTGTAGTGCTGTTCTATGTATGATGTGTATAGTTGATAAACTTTGTTCTGTCGTGCCGTTCTGTGTATAATGTGTATAATTAATACACTTTGTTCTGTCGTGCCGTTCTGTGTCTAATGTGTATAATTAATAAACTTTGTTTTGTCGTGCTGTTCTGTGTGTAATGTGTATAATTAATAAACTTTGTTCTGTCGTGCCGTTCTGTGTGAATGTGTATAATTGATACACTTTGTTTTGTCGTGTTGTTCTGTGTATAATGTGTATAATTAATAAACTTTGTTCTGTCGTGCCGTTCTTTGTGTAATGTGTATAATTAATACACTGTGTCCTGTCGTGCTGTTCTGTGTTTAATGTGTATAATTAATACACTTTGTTCTGTCGTGCTGTTCTGTGTATAATGTGTATAATTAATACACTTTGTCCTGTCGTGCTGTTCTGTGTATAATGTGTATAATTTATAAACTTTGTTCTGTAGTGCTGTTCTGTGTAT